CACTCACTGTCAGAACCCGGGTCCTGTGCCTGTGACTGAGTTCAGCGAATCCCCACACCACCCCCAAGAGGGAACCGATGTCCCCCACTTTACACGGGGGGACATTAAGGCACAGAGCGGATGGTTAACTTATCCACGGCCGCACAGTGATGAAGGGAAGCCCCGGATTTGAACCCAGGCAGCTGGTGCTGAAGTTTGTGCTCATAACCACTTTGCCAGCCACCGCTTGAGGGCTGTGCCTGGTGGTGATGTCGTACGCCTGGTGGAAATCTTTGGTGTCAGACGGACAGGGGTGTCCAAGCTGTGCCAGTCACCTGTGATCCTCGGGCTCTGGGGATACCTCCACATTTGCTGTGTGACCTTAGGCAAATTATTGCACTTCTCTGAACTTCGGTCTCCTCTTCGTATAAAATGAGTAGGACACCAACCCATCTTAAGGGACGGGGATATTGAGACGGGATTGAAATACATGGAGAATATTTAAATTCTGGAATATTTATTACAATAAATGACACATTGTCAGCCCCCTCAAAATCCTCCCCTGTCCCCCACCCATTCATCCTGTCATTCTTGCCACTTTTTGAAGCGGCTGTGGAAGTCCTCTCTCCTGAAAGTCTCTACGAAGTGTGATTAAAAAGCACAGTGAGCCAGGCGTGGTGGTGCATGGCTGTAATACCAACTGAGGCAGGAGGATCACTGTGAGTTCGAGACCAGCCTGGGCTACAAAGTGAGCTCAAGGCAGCCTGAGTTGCATAGAGACCCTGTCTCAAAAAGACAAAAACAAAAAACAAAACAAAACAAAACCCCACAGTGAGTGCTGGTGCTGAGTGCCAGCCTGTGGAGGCAGCTCTTAGGAACGCCGTGGTGTGTTCTCACCCTCCTCATTCCCGGGTGACTGGCGCCATGCAACTTCTGGCTCGTCCCCAAAGCTAAACAGCCAGGGAAGGTCCATCTTTTGAACGGATTCAGAACACGGAGGCAGCCATGAGGGTGCAGCTGAAGACACTCACCAAAGAGCTCTTCCAGACCGGCCTCAGAAAGTGGCTGGAGGAAGTCAAAGTGTGTGTGTGTGTGTGTGTGTGTGTGTGTGTGTGTGTGTGTGTGCTGGTCATGCGCCTTTAACTGTAACATTTTAAAAAGGGTAAATATTCCCCACCCGACCTTTGGATCCCGCCTCATCTGTGAGTTGGTGCGTGTGGGGTGGAGGTCACATGACCCGGAGTGCCACTGGCTTGCGGGCGAAGGCACTTCACGTGGTCTCTAAACAGGACAGGTATGAAGCTGCTGTCCCTGGTGATCCCTGCTTCTCCTTGGGCACTGCTGGTGCTGGAGGGCACCGGCAAGCCTGGCCTGGCGTTTCGAGACCACCGGACAGGAAGGGATATGAAAACACCCGTGCTGCGTGCCGGGAGCTGATAACATCAGGACGACTTAAGGCAGGGAAACTCCGTTAAGGACCCGGAGCGGTGGCTTCTCCTCCAGCATCCAATCTAGCATCTTGTGTCTTTGAAGAGATTCAATAGGATTATATTAGCATAGAATATGCTGGTGGCAGAAATGACAGCTTTATCTCTGAACACGCAGAACAGACAGAAATATTAATGTGGCAGCCGCCAAAGGGGCCAGTGTGCTTGGCTTCCTGCCCTTTCCTGATGCAATAACTGTCCCCTTACCTCTGTTTCCTTCAGTGGTGCTGCGGCTCATAACAATGCGTCACTGAAAACTGACATGAGGTTATTCTGCGGCAAGTTGGAAAGTAACTCTTTTTATTGAGCATGTGCTATGTGCCAGACAGCCCATCACTGCTGTCTGCAGTGTAAGAACTGGGACTGTCACCCACATTTCCCCAAAAGGAGCCCGAGGTTCAGAGACGCCGCACGGCCTCTTCAGGGCCACACGGCCTGGGAGAGGCAGAGCACGGGCCTCTGACTTCCTCTTCCCCGCTGCTGAGCTCTGCTTCCGGCCTTTGCAGTTTGCAGATGGAGTCATCTTACTCTTGCTGATTGGACAGCTGGAAGGCTTCTTCCTGCACCTGAAGGAATTCCACCTCACCCCCAGATCTCCTGCAGAAATGGTAAGCTTCCCAAAGGTTTTCCGGGCTGTCTAGCTCCGGGTGGACAGACGGACAGCTGGCAGTGAGGGGGAAAGGGGGACTTTATTTGTTTATATATCTGCGCACCCACTCCTCCACCCACCCACCTGCCCATCCATCCATCCATCTACCTGCCTGCCTGTCCATCTAACCTTCTGCCCATCCATCCATGCATCCATGCATCCATCCATCCATCCATCCATCCATCCATCCATCCATCCATCCACCCAACCATCCATTCATCCATCCATCCATCCATCCATCCATCCATCCATCCATCCATCCACCTGTCTGCCCATTCAACTACTCACCTCCAACACCCACTTCCCATCTGTCCATCCATCCACTCACCCAGTCCACCCACACCCTGCACCCCTCACTCTGGGGAAGCAGCTCAGTGTCAGGCCCCATGCTGTGTAACACAGTCAATCAGCACAGCCCAAGCATTTGAGGCCTCTCTGACTACACTCACTGTCCTCCCACGCATTAGGGTCTTCCAGGGCCTCACAGAGTGTGCGGCTCCATGGTGCATGGGCAGAGGAGGAAGTGGCCGGTCTGACCCAAAGGAGTCAGAGAAGGCGCTGTATCAGAAGGGTTTAGTTTGCAGAGTTGGGGCAGAAGAGGAAGGGCACTTGAGGGGACGGAACAGCAAGGCGTGGGGGATCCATGGGCTGCAGGACGGGTTGGGGGGCAGGATGGGGCTCCTGGGGGCTCTGGGAGACACTGAGGAAGTCCAGGCAGGAAGGTCTGTGATCACCCCAGGAAGATGGGGAAGAATAAGCCACAGTGGATCAGGAGGTGTGGGGAGGTGATGGGGTGAGCCCTGGGGACCGTGATCTGACGGTCTTCCAGAGGAAGCCCTGTGTCCAGCTGGCTGCCACCCCTGCCCCTCTGCCCTGTAGTATAGCAACAGCTCCTCGAGCTTCTCTCCCACCTCTGGGCCTTCACACTGGCTCTTCCCCCACTGGGGACCCCGCCCCGTGAGGCAGACCTGCATCCCGAGGCTGGGGACTCCAAGGGTTCCCGCCATGCCGCACACCCTGCTGCCCTGCGGCCCGGCAGAGGGAAGGCGCTCCCTGCTCGGCCCCGACAGCCTGACTCTGTCTCCTACATGGCAGGCTCTCTGCCTGCACCCTTGGCTTCCTGTCTCAGCAATGGACACCAGTCCCTGCCATGCCCACCCTCAGTCCACACGTGGTGAGACAAGAGTTTGGAGAAGAGTCTGGGTTCCTGCCGCCTGTCCTGCATCTGGCCAGCTGTAGCCATTGGGAGTCTTTGCTAAGCCCTCAATTGTAGCCAAAGGCCAAGCCAGGGCCAGCCCCTGACAGGAGACCCCTGTGTCTTTCTGGCTTTTTATCCAGGGACACCTGGCAGGGGCAATGCCATCCCAGGCCAGCCTTAGGGGCCTCGCTGGGGAGGAACTCTGTCCCCTCCATGGATACAGTGTGGCCCAGGGCCCGGGGTAGGCCTCTTGCCTTCCTGGGGCCCAGCTGCAGGCCAGGTTTCCTGGGGCATTCAGAAAGCGGAGACCCTGGGCCAGGCAGAGGCTGAGCCAGGAGCCTTCGTGGCCCAGGTTTAGTAGGAAAAGCACCCACCCCAGCATTCAAGATGCAGTATCCACCGTCCAGTGCTGTTTAAGAAGCCACCAGGCCCGCTGGTGGTAGAAACCACAGTCACTGTGGTCACAGAACTGCAGCTGGGCTGGGCGTGCTCAGTAGGGCGAGACCTCCTGGGGACCAGACCCCTGAGCTGGGTGCTTTGCTCCTGTGATGCGGGCTTCCTGGGGTCTGCGGCTCCCTGGGCATTGTTCCTTGTGGCTAAGGCAGAGATCTGGGACCAAGTAGAGGGCCCAGGGCTGGCCGAACAGGTGCATTGGCCCTTCCTGCCCATTCTGTTGGCCAAAGAGGGGTATGGCCTTGGTGGGGGACAGTCCTGAGCAGCTCGCACCCTCTCTCAGGTCTTGCGGGTGGCTTGCTAAGCACCCTCGTGCTGGGCCTATGCACTGGGGACTGTTCCCGTCCGGCTTCCGCGGGGCGTCCTGAGAGCTGCACTCACCCGGCCAAGAGCACACAACTGATCAGCACAGAGATGGGCCTGGCACCCAGCCTTGTCTGCCTCCAAAGCTTGACATTTTCCCCGAGTCCTTCCTTGGGAGCCCAGGAAGCCCCAGGGAGGCGAGGGAAATATGGTGCACCAAAGCCCTGAGCCTGAGGACAGGTTTCCAGTGTCTATGGGGAAACTCTCAACTCCAGAGCAGATGCTAAAAATGCCCACATCGGAGGTCGGAGCTGAAGATGGTGGCAATGACCCCTTCGGGAAGAGGAGCACCCGCGGGCTTGCTGGCTGGGCACAGTGGCCTCTCAAAACTGCATTTTTCATCAGCAGACCTTCCTTGCACATGATGTTTTAGCGAGATTGCCATTCATTTAGCAAACAGAAGCTGGGGACGGAAGGAAAGCCATCATTTGCTCTGCAGAAATCAAAGCCCAGGAGCCAGGAACCTCGAGCCTCCTCCCACCTGCAATCATCCGTCCCCAGCAGGACAGGAAGCGTCCACCGGGTGCTGGCCTCCCATCGGCCCTGCGGAGCAGCGGGAGATTCCCTCACACCGTCTCAAACTGTGCCTGGGAGGAAAAGATGCACCGGGAGGCCGTGAGAGAGCGGACTACATCCTGGCCGCTTCCTGCCAGAGCGGACTTTGGCTCAGAGCGAGCGTCATTAGGGACAGTGTGGCCCGAAGTAAATGTCCTCATCTTTTAGTGTTGCTATCAGCAACTCCCAAAGCCTCAAGTCCTGAAATATGGTCTGTTTCCAGCGCCCCCGCTTAGCAGGTGCTCTACAAATCATTCCTATTTTATTTGACTTTTCATTTTGGGGGGGTACTGGGAATCGAACTCACCACCTTTCATTTGCTAGGCAGGCGCTTAAGCCACTGAGCTATATCCCCGGCCTCCACAATCATTTTAAATCATATTTCCAAAACACTTGTCCATGCAGGGCTCTCTAACAGAAGCATTGCTGGGATCAAGTAACTTGGGGAACCACACAACCTCATGAAGGAAGGTTCGTGATGCCTCCCAACACGTTCAAGGCTCTGAGAAGTCCTGCGGCGGGGACTGATGAATTTACCTCAGCGGTTTCCACGGCCAGTGGTCACCAGCCGCCTTTCCCCCCACATCCTCAATCAAGCTTTTCACAGTGACGGCTCCCAGAGGACACAGGGCAGGGCTCGGAGACCAGAGGCCCAGGGTCCGGCTCCTCCTCCTGAGTTTGTTTTTCTGTGTGCCCTACATATCTCGTTCTTGACACGGATGGGAATAACAGCAGCAATCCCAGACCTCAGGGAGGCCTTGGGGACCCCGTGCCGTGGCCATCAAAATGGGTGCTGAGGCCGCACCTCTGTCTGGACGTCCCTGGGGTGTGCAAGGTGACTTTCATCTTCCGTTCTCCAGCCCCGAGGGAAGCCATCCACCTGCAAACATGCTCTTCCGTGTCCAGGCCCAGGCTCGGTCTCCTCAGCCCGGGCCCAAGGACCCAGCAGGCGGTGGCGACGCCAGCTGTGCCTGTGGCTTCCGCTCTGTGCCTGCCATCCCCTCCCACCCTGCAGCCTCCTCTGGGTAGGAGATCCGCCCACGCCCACCCCTGTGGAGGGGAAACCGAGGCTGGTCAGGACAGGTGACTTGTCTGACCTGGACAGGGGGACCAGGTCAGTGCGCCAGCCCCACACCCATGTCTGACACTCCTCCTGCTGGCCATTCAGGAGGAGGGCAGGGCTGGGGCCTTGCATGAGCCTCACTTGGCCTGGGTCACCTGCTGCATGGCCAGCCTGAGTTGCCATGGGACTGGCCGCCAGTGAAGCTGGGGGGTGGGTAGGAGTGGGCAGGGACACCCGGGCCTGTGTTGGATCCATGGGTGACAGAGACCCCTGCAGGAGGTCCTGTTTGAGGTCTCCCAGAAAATCAAGGACTCACCCCTCTTCACCCCCAGCCTCTACCATGCCAGACTGCTGCCCTGGGGGTGCAGGGTCTGCTCTGCTGGCGTCTGAGGCCCAGAGGAGCCTGGAGCATGGACAGGGCAGGGACTCTGCGCAGGGTGGTCCTGCCCAGGGCTCCCAGGGCTCCCGCTGGTGTCCTATAGCAACCAGGATGTCGGGGACCAGGTGAGGTGAGCAGTGGGAGCTGGCGGGCAGGCGGTGTGATTGGGAGCCCACGGCCGAGCTGAGGTCAGAGCCGCAGCCTTGCGCCTGCCCAGTACTCTCCACTCTGCAGGGGCCAGGCAGGGGCTCCAGCCAGGCGGAAGGGTGGCCAGAGGGACAGGCACCAGAGAGGGGCAGCTCCTGAGGTCTCCAGCCTGCCTGGAGGTCACACAAACGAGATAACCCTGGGCCCAAGGCCACCCTGAGCCTTGGGTGCTCAAGAAAACCATGTCCCCATGGGTCCCTATGACCCATGAGCCCGTGCTCTGTCCCCTGGCCGAAACTGCTCACCTGACAGATGCACAGCCTGGAGTCACGTCCACCAGGAGGCTTCCCTGACCTCCGCTGCTTCCTGGGTGACGGCTTTTCCCAGTAGAGGTGGCCTCCAGATGTGTGTGTCCAGAGCGACCCTGGCTCAGAGTCAAGCTGCATGTGGACGAGGCCTGGCTTTTGTCCCCGGGGCTGGACGGTGGTGCTGAGTGATTCACCTGTAGTTTGGGCAGCTGTGGACAGATGTTGTTGGGGGCAGGACGGGCCCCACACCCAGGCCCTGAGCCGGGGCTGGGGCCCCACATCTGCTGTCCTCTGATGGGCCTGCTCATTGCAGCTGCACAACGTCACCCTGGCCCTGACCCTGCTGAAGGATGAAGGCCTGCTCAGCCACCCTGTCAGCCCCGAAGGTGAGAGCCCTGTGCAGGGCACGGGGATGAGTGCGTCCTCCGGCCCCGAGGGAAGCTGGGAGTCAGCAGCCTCCAGGGTCCCTGGGAAAACTGACCTTGAGGCATCTCCGTGTTGAGAGGACACATGAGGTGTGGGGGAGGCCTGGACTGGAGCAAGGCAGAGGCCGGGTCATGTGGTGGGCGCTGGGCAGGACTCAGGCCTGGGGGACCCACAGTCAGCCTCCCAGCAAACCAGAACGGGGGGCAGGGGTGCGGAGTGGGGGCGGGCACCCTGCTACCCGCCGGACTGACTCTGCCCCTCTGGCCCACAGACATCGTGAACAAGGACGCCAAGAGCACGCTGCGGGTGCTCTACAGTCTCTTCTGCAAGCACAAGCTGAAGGTGGACAAGGACGGGAGGCCCCAGGCACCCACGAATTAGCCGCTTCTGTCCCCTGAAGCTGTTCCTCCCACCCCTGCCCTGCCTCTTCCGCAGCAGTGTCTCTACTCTGGGTGTGGAGCCCTCTGGAGCCAACCTGAGCTTGTTCAGTTTAGTTTGCTCAATTATTTCTTGGGGGGCTCTGGGTGCCTTGGGCAGGGACCTGATGGGCTCAGTCCCCAACTGTGACAGACCTCAGCAGCCTCTGTCCTGTCCCATGGAGCTCCATGGGCACCCTGGGGGCCCGGACAGTGAGTCAGTGATGGTGACCTGTCTTGGGGCTCCTGGACTCGGGCATCAGGACGACGGCCCCAGACCCAGCTTCTGCCCGAAGCTGCCCGCTGCCCACCTCTCAGGGCAAAGGTCCTGGGATCCCCACCCAGAGGCAGGAGTCCCTGGAGGCTCCAAAAACAAGCCCCGACGCTGCACGGAGAAGCAAGCCAGGTTCCTAGCTGAAGCAGCTGTGGCCCAGGCCAGCCCCGCGCCCACCCGGCTGCCACTGTGAGATTTGCCCAGAAGTCTTGCCGGAGAAATCTCTGTGGTTGATTAGTGGGTTCAGGTCCTCTCCAGCCTGTCCCTGGGCGAGCGAGCATTGCTCTCTTAAGTGAGGTCTGGCATCTTCTGCAAAGAAAAAGAAACTTGTATGAGAATTGAGTGCAATCGTTCCAGGAGTGGCTTCCAGGGCTGCCGCTGCGGCTGTCTGATGGGAACCAGCTGGAGGAGGCGCATCAGGCGGGCATGGAGGGGTGCGGGGTGGAGGGTGCAGGGGTGCAGGGCATCCAGCCCTGGCTGCTGCTCCTCCCAGCCGCCCGCCTCCTGCCCTCCAGGATTCCAAGCCTCTGTCTCTCCCCTCTCCCCAGGTCAGGGCTGTCCCAGTGTGACAGCTTGGGTTTGGGGCGGCCTTTGGAGAGGGGATGAGAGGCCCGGCCACCATTGTCAGGCTTGGGAGGACGCCCTGTCTGGGAAGGTGGCACCATCAGGATCCCGGCCACTGCCCTGCTCCCTCCTGGTTCACAAAGCAAACCGAGGTGCTTAGGTGGGCTCTGCAGAAGCCTCCCCCCATTGGATGCACCCCATCTGCACCCACACCCCTTTCCCTGGGCCCCTGGGCAGGGCCCTTCTCCTATACAACTGTCCTTCCATCTCCTCCCTTAGGATGCCCCTGGCCTTCCTCTCCTCCCCTTGGGGCGTCCTGGGGCTGTGCACAGGCCAGGACCACCCATCTTTTTCTCACCAGGCTTCATGATGAAGCCAACGTCCACGCCCCACTCCCAGGGTCCCCATCCCACAACACGGGCCTCACCTCCTGCAGACGGCTCTGCTCGGCTACCCAAGCCTTCACCATGTTCTATTTAATAGCAAATTCTAAAAACAGCAAAAACAAAAACCTTTCGTAGCTCGCTTGAGGAATAATTTAGAAACAGTAAAATTTCCCAATCGAAATGTACGCTTTGACAGGGTTGACAGATCTACATGGCAGGGGCCCAACCCCAGCAGGGCTGAGCCTGGGTGCACCCCTCCCCCAGCTGCTCCCCAGCGTCCTTTAGATCCAGCCCCTCCCGCCAGTCTGCTTCTGGTCAACACGGCTTTGCCCCTTCTAGGATTTTCCATAAACTGCTTCAAACAGGACGGCGTCTTTGGGGTCTGTTTCCCTAAGCATGACCCCCATTGGCCCTTGCCCTTTAGCTGCTGGGGTCATCCACTTGGTGCTGTGTCACTAAACCAGCCCTTTCTATGACCCAACACAGGGCCATGTGTGGGGATTTCACACATTTCGTGATGTATTATTTTTGCTCCAAAAAAAAAAAAAAAAAGTTATGGCTCAATGGCACAAGCGCCTGCCTGGCGAGCACAGGGTCCTCAGTTTGCTTTCCAATATCAGAAAAGAAAACACAGGACAGACAGCGTCTTTAGAAGAGACCTGTGAGCACCCAGGAGAGCGCCTTGCACTGGCCACGTGTCTGCCCTTTCGCCCTCTCTGTGCCCCCTTCTGCCTGGGACCCTCTGCCTCCTGCTGGAGACCTCTGTCCGGTTCCCCTCCTGTTCTGGTTCTGCGGATTGCACCCAGAGCCTGGCACCGCCCGCACACCCGGCCCTCTGTGGAGGTCATCCGTGGAGATTTGTTTCTTACTGGCCTGGGAGATGGGCAGCCCAGCGAGAAGGGCTCGACCTGAGGCAAAGGCTTTTCTACTCCGTGGCCGTGGCAGCAGGTGGAGGGACCAACAATCACGTGAGCGTGGAGAAAAAGGCACTGAACTTGCAGCCAGAAACTGCTCATGGTCAGCGTCCACCCTTTCCCACGTGGAGCCCTCACGGCCTGGGAACCCGCAGTGGACCTCACCCGCAGACTCTGCTGCTACTGGGGACGCAGGTCCCGATGTGCGACCTTCGATGGTCACATTCAGGCCAAAGCGCCCTCTGCGGCGGTGTGCGGGTGCCGTCTGCCGTTAAGGCGCTTCCGAACCTACACGGACAGACCCCGTTTTGAGAGATAACTTCTCTGCGGGGAGAATTCGGACTGGCAGCTTTTGGTCCCAACACCTTCACGGCCCTGCTCCCGTCGCCGGGCGGCGGGCTTTCAGCATGAGGTCCCCTCCTCTCTTCTCTGAGGTCCTCAGCTCTATGTCCTGTCTCTCTGGCTGTGAACCTTTTGATTCTGGAGGTTCATGGTTTTTAAATCTGGAAACTCTTTGTCCATCGTAATGTTTATTTTTGGTCTCCCTTTCCTCTGCCTCTTGGTCTCCAGTGGGTCCTTTCACGTGGATTGGCATTGCCTGTGCAGACTGCAGTCCTGGGGTCTGAGCCCAGAGCCTCACGCAGGACAGGCAGGAGCTCCGCCCCTGAGTCACAGCCGTCCAGTCTTCATTTCACGCTCAGTCTTTTGCCCCGCTCTCTTCCCCTTTAGTGATTTCTCCTGCTGTGTTTCCAGGTCTGCTGAGCTTCTCTCTGGTGCTGTCTCCTTGGCTTGAATCCACAGCCGTGTCGTGGATTTCTTTGTGTTTCTTTTCTGTGTTTGGGCTCTGTCTGGGATGCAGTCAGGTTACTCAGAATCAGTATGAGCCCGTGGACTCTGCCCCTTACACTCTGTAGAATGGGTATAGGGAAAATTTGAGGGCCTCCTGGCCCCATGATGAGCAGTACTGACCTGAAGACCTGCCCATGTCCTGTGTGCCGGAAGTCTTTCCCCTGGCAGACTGTAAACGACGCCCTGCTTAGGTCCGTGGCTCGCTGGGCTTAGCTCCTTCCTGTGATTCTCTCCCCAGCGTGGGAAGCTAGGAACGGTCCCTCCCATGCATGTGACATCCACATCTGACCCAGGGCTGGGCGGGGGTGTGGACTCCTGTAGCTCTCCAGGGCTCTCTTCTGCCCCATGCAGTATAGTTGTCTTAATTTCCCCACACCCCAAATTACACCCTCCAACACTGGGCTATCTTGGGGTTCCTGTCCCCTGGGCACTGCAGCTGGTGAGCTCGGGCATGCACAGGGGACCTCTTCTTCTTCTGGTCCTCTCAGGGACCACTTTCCTGCACAACTGCTGTCCAGGACCTGGGGACCCTTGCTTCCAGATACTCTGTCTGGAGGACAGGGAGGTCAGGTGCTGCTCCCCGACAGTGGTTACAGGGCGGAGCTTTCGGGTTGCAGGGTCTCCTGCCTGTCCCACCCCTTGGGCGCCCCTGACCGGGCTTTTCTCTGGGCCCTGGGAGGTGGATTTCCTGGCTTCTCCCCCGCCCCCCGAGTCTCCCTTCCCTCTACCTTCCCGGAGGAAGTGGCAGGGTCATGGCCTCCCCTCTGATGTCCCCTGCCTCTGCGACCCTGTCCCCCTCCTCAGCGGGGAGGCTCCCCGAGGGTCCCTCTCCGTCTCCGCTCAGCTCCAACCCCTCATTCTTTTTTTTCTTCTATTCTTATGCAATGTGGTGAAGCATACATCACACAAGCCTTCCCGCCCAGCCCTATTAAGCACATCCATCTGATGATTGTGTACCCACCGCCACCACCTGCTCAGACACGCTCCATCCACAGAGCTGACACTGTGTCCCCATCAGACCATAACCCACCCCCTCTGTTCCCCTGGCCCCGGGGAACTACCCTTCCATGTGCTGACCGGACCCACATCTGTAACCCTCCCTGGGGTGCCCATCCCGAACTCTACATCACGACACGGCTCAGCTCTCTGCCCTGTCCCTCCCCCCGCTCCCCGTTGCATCCTGGTCCCCAGGCCGGAGACCCGGGTCCACTCCTCTCCCGCCTGAGCACGCGCCCTGTCCTTTCTGTCTCTTGCTCCCCCGATGCTGTCTCCTGCCTCATCCTCTGGACTCCAGTTCTATCCCGACATCCTCTGGGTCCAGCTGGGCTGCTCTGATGTCCGTCGATGGCCAGGAAGATGCCTTCACTACAGCCCCAGAGGATGTCTCAGTCACACCAGTGGGGAACCCCTTGAGGAGCAAGTGGGGGGCAGGATGCCCTTGGGAGATGGAGGTATGACTGGGGACCCCGTGTCTGCGAGTGAGAGGGGGACAGGCCCCTGAGAAGGAAGGGGCAGCCTCTGCCCGGGTCCAGCTCTCTGTCCATCACCCTCCCCCTCCGTCTCCAGAAACCTGACTCTGGCCGATCCCACAGAAGCAGGGAGCCAGCATAATTGCAGTGGGCCGAGCTGGAAGGCGGCCAGGGCTGGAGAAGGAGCGGGCAGCCCCAGCCGGGTGTGCTAACAGCTTCTCAGCCACAACGGGAAATGCCTCGAAGGCGAAGAAGGCCGGGTGCCTCGGAGTTGAGCTGCTTCCCAAAATAATCCAGGGGGAGCTGTCTCAGAGCCTGAAACTGGGTCTGGCCGCCCAGGCTGCAGGAAGCCCCAGGCCCACACCAGCCCTGCTCGGGGAACAGATGGTGCTGGGATTTTTCCTTTCTTTTACCAAAGTCAGCTGGTAGGCAAACAGCTTGTCTAGAGAAAAATGTATTCCTTCCCCCTCTGCTGGCAACGGATCAAAGCTAGCTCTCCCCGTCCCCCGCCATCTCGGCCTCCTCTGGCCTCTTTCCCTGTGAGGCGGGGGGCTGCAGGCTTGTTCACCCCACACCTCATGCAGCCCCACACGCTGTCGGGTGCAGACCCTCCAGTGCCCT